TAATAATAATAATAATAATAATAATAATAATAATAATAATAATAATAATAATAATAAAAAAACAATAATACAATATTTTTATTAATATTAGACAAGGAATATTTCAATGTGACGCCTTAAGTGTTCTGGATCACGCCATAATAAAACGAGATCTTGAGCAGCAATATAAAAAGAAAATATCTCATTTAGCCACTGAATGGAATAAATTTATTGTTAATGTCAACTTCGGTAAGAAGCATGATCAGAATTTTAGCTGCAACTGCTTTTCAGCTACATGTTTGATATCATTAGATAGGTGATAATTTTGGTCTTAAATAAGAAATTACGAGTAAATGTGGCAGTTTTATGTTTGGGGCAATTACAATTTTTATTTACGTAAGTATACGTAAATAAAAATATCCTGTCTACATTACTAACAATTAATTTATTACATGGTGAGTATTTATATATTAAGCATATGATATTTGAACATATCGATAATTTCTAACCATCCAATACTTGTACTTGTGACTTATGTGATTAAATTTCCTCAAGCCATGAGAAATGTAAGCATGAATTTTGTAACCTCTGGGGTACAGATCTGCCAATTTTTTTTATAGATTTGGATCGTGTATCATTACAATAATTTCGATATGATTCAAATAAATAAAGCTTCAAATTTTGATTCATTATTGTGGGTATAGTTACTTTAGAATATTATATCATGTTTTTAACATTTCATTTATGTGCTTATTGTTAGTGAAAGTAGATCTGACCCAAACTAAAATCCTACATTTTTGAGTTCATTCATCCAATTTTTATTGTCTAAACCAAGTTGCAACAAATTTTTTTTAAATAAACCCCTTGGGCCTCTTTATTGAACAGATAAGGGATCAGATACTTTGGATTTTAAGCTCATCCTTCTATAATTGAAATAATTTTCGAGTATAATAATTTGGTTCGTTCATAATAATTTTGGCCATAGCTTTTGAACAATTCCTATACCAATGAAGAACAACAAACTCTTAAAGTGAGAATTTCAAATTTGTAGGCCTGTATTAGAAGAATTTCCATTTTATTTTCGTGGACTTCAGAAAAGTTCACTCTGTATATTTTTTCGATTGTTTCATATACATAGTATATTGAAGGTACATAACTTGGGGACAATTATGGTTTTGATATTTTATGTCACTTTTTTAAATGCTTGTTCGATATCATTTTAGCAGCACCATTATTTTCACACTTTTTACAGATTTTACAGGTCCCAACAGAACCATTTTTATTCACACGTCACATGGGAAAGATTCAGCTTGTAGATTCGTACAAAATCAGATGAAAAACTTATAATTTGCGGTTTTAATAAGACGTAAACGTTATTATTTCCATAAGTAAAGAATGTGACAACGAAAGTAGCAAGACCCTCACCTGATTTTTTTTAGGAGATGTAAAATAATGGCCAATTTTACCTTTTCTTACTAACCTTCATTATAACATGAATTTTGTTGAATGAAGACACCTAATTGTTTAATCTCATGCAGAAACTAAAAACTAATTACTGTTAAACCTACTGTAAACAAATGTGACAATTGATTAAAAACTTTTTTATTAAAACCTATAATTTTTCAATTGTATACATAAAATTACAATAAGAAATGTTAGTACTAGACGAAGTGAAATACGAAAAATTTGTTATAAGCGTTCTCATTGATAAAAGTAGTATTGCAACGCGGAAGAAAATATGTATTGAAAGAATTTCATTGTTATTTCAAAAGTCAAGGAAAGTGTGACAAAAATTTCAAATATGTACAACTTTGTAGAACAAAACTACAAAAATATATAAAAAATTGTGTTTCCAAACTTTCATTGCATTTCAAAAGTTAAAGAAAATGTGACGAAAAGAAATATGGAAATTTCTTCAATACTTTCCAGACATTTTTAAATTCTGGCTTCAAAGACTTTCATGGCCTTCAACGATATATACCAAAGAAAAATTTATTTTCACAAATGATTCAAAAGTTACATTCAAAATAAATTTTAGACAATTCTGAGATCATCCTGTATATCTACAAATTTTAACTCAGAACTTTTCAAGTGGTCATTGCATTCTCGCTTAGATGTCTTACTATATATTTTTTATTATTATTTAAGAAACATATATTTTATTTGCAAACTTGAAGGAAAGATACTGTCAGACCTCTTTATTCAAATTTTTTAATTTTTTTTGCAACATTTGAAAGTAGCACTAGAAATATGTACAAAGGGGTCAAAAGCAAGGTGGAGGAATATGACAGCTTATTATAAAAGGCAATACAAACTAAAAATACTAAAACATAGACTCAAATATCTAAATGAAAATAAAAATATGTATACATAGACTCGTAATAATAATAACTAAACACACTGAAAATTATTCTGAATTATTAAAATATATTCCACACCACATCGTTAAAAATTCTCCCTAATTTCGTACTTCGTAATCTCCCAAAATTAATTATAATATCACGTGCTATTTCTTCATTTGCAAATGAAATATCACAGCTCCGGTTAACGAGTAACAAAGCAGGGGCTGTAAACTGGGAACAATTCGTTTGGTAACGATTTCTGTTCCACATTACAAAAACTTATAACATTTACATACTTAAAATACCATTTTATTCAGTTATTCTTTATATTTACAAAATAACAAAATTGTAAAGAAACCTTTCTACTAATTTTTGTGGAAAGAACAAAAACTAGTTCTCCTTGTTTTAGATAGTATATAGAGTGTTGAAATTAAAAAAACATATCTTCACCACTATCTCTGACGATATTTGACATAGACCAACAAAATTTGGTCAGTCATTGATTTATCAAATCAGAAGTTTATTTACAATTCAGTTCCTCTAGGACCCTCAGAATTTCGACACCACAGAGAATTCATTAGCAGTGACATTTCTATTTTGTTCCAGGAACGAGCTGTTTAAGATTGAAAGTTCTATTTTTTATTATTTTAAAATGAGCTTATTGAAATGACCTTAAATCGAAAATAACTCGAAAGCAATTCGTTCTGTAAAAAAATTATGGAAATTACACGTGCAACTAAATACGCCAAAAAAATCATTGCTGTAAAAATTTTACTATTTTTTTGGGAATTTTACATACATTTTAACACTTTCATATCACTGATTATTTTAATTTTTAACGCATATGTATTTAAAATCGTATTTCAAACAAAAAATTCACAAAAAACAATTTTTTTAGAATTAATAGTTTTTGAATTTTTCTATTTACTTCACTGGTAAACTAATTATAAAATTCTAGAATTATAAAACGGATCTTTTTTAGAATAAAATGGAAAATATCTCTTTTCTTAGAAATATCACTAGCAATGAAAGGCACTAATCGAATTTGTAGTGTCCTACGATGGCATCGAAATTCTAGACTCTTTTTGATTGACTCCATATCTGTACCATCGATTGAGATATATTTATGTCAACTTGGCAATTTTTTTTTATTGGGCAAATCAGAGGCCAAGTTTCATTAGTCTCTGTTAAACATCCTTTAAGATATTTCGGAAAATATGTTAAATTTGTTTCATATCAACACATCTTGAAAACGAGAAGAATATCATTCATATGATTTTTTTGCTTAAAATAATTTGTTCTGTAACTTGGTCAATCTTCCCGACTAAAACGTAGATCACATTACTTTCATTACACCCTTTACACCTAATTGTAATAATATTTTCCTGCGTTACATGATATCGTTATCAAGTGGTATTAAATTATGGCCAAACAAAACCTATTACATGTGTGGATAATCATGACTTTATGAAAGGTGCCTTAGGGACAAAAGTATGTATTAAGGGGTGTAAAATTATTATTCCTCGACAATGATTTGTGTGCACGCTTAGATTTGATTATTATCTCATTATCCTTTAATTTTCCAGAAAATGAGTTTCGGTTTGATGTAGGGGTGAAATCATAAAATAGAAGGAATTGTTAGTGACTGCGAATTACTGAATCAGGTAGTTATTTTAATTCTTTATTATTTATTACCACGAGGCATATCCACAAAGTAAGAGTACTGAGACTCTGATATTCTGTGATTTTTATATTCGACAAAGTTGGCAACACTGAATTCAAGGCCAAGGTGTAGCGAGCAGATCGCACGCTCATTTGTCTGAATCAGTTGAGAACTGTTGTTGTAGTGGCGTGTTGAAAAAATGAGTGCCACTATTGTGAATCCCGGTAGTTGCGAGCTGAGGAGCGTAATCTGGTTTCTTCTTGCAAAGGGAAAAGCGCCATTACAGATTTTTAACGAAATCAAAACTTTTTATAGGGATGGTGTGATGAATCGTACTATTGTCATAATATAAGAGGTGTCGTGAATTTAAAGATAACAGAACGAATGTTTCATGATGAACAAAGAAGTGGGCGTCCCTCAATCGAAGAAATGGTTCGTGGTGACTGTCGATTGACTTTGGAAGAGATGAACGCAATGTTTTCACAAATCTCCAGATCTCTTCAGCATGAATGTTAACAAAGGGAGTACGCTTGTATCACCACACAGTTAACGCCACAAAAGCAACTCTTGGATTCATTCGTTTGGAACATCATCAACC